GGAAAGTGATGTTGGAAGTTTATCATGGTATTGAGGAGTGTAGTGCAGAGTACACACCGAAACGGGGGTCTTTTGAGACGTCTCAAGAGAGGACTGTGGTGTTGGAAGTGTACCATGCTCCAGGAGCGCAGTGAGGAGTGCAATGAGGAGTGCACACCACAATGAGGGTGATGTGGACTTTGACAGCAAGGACGCTTGTTGACTTGGCAAGGAAGACTGGAAGGCGTTGGAGCTGGTAGAATTGTTGGACTAACAGCTGGAGGACCTTGGCGTTGGAAGTGTATCATGGTTCAGGAGTGCAGTGAGGAGTGCAGTGAGCTGGTTTTTGAGAATTCTCAAACACCGCAACGGCAGTGATGCGGACTTTGACAGCGAGGATGCTTGTGGACGTGGCAAGGAAGAGTGGAAGGCGTTGGTGCGTGGGCGCCTAGGGGCGAACATCGTCAGTGGCATGTGGATTTTTAGGGTGAAGCGGCCGTCGGGTTCTCCGCCTGTCTTCAAGGCTCGTTACGTTGCTCAATCAGCGTGAGGGAGTTGACTTCTTCCAGACCTTCTCCCCCACCCCAAAGATGACCACTCTTCGGGTGCTGCTGCACGCTGCCGCTCAGCGTGACTACGAGTTTCACTCTCTTGACTTCACCACAGCCTTCTTACAGTGCAGTCTGCACAAGGAGATCTGGCTGCGCCGCCCACCTGGTTTCACTGGGTCGTTCCCTCCTGGTACCCAGTGGAGCCTTTGGCGGCCAGTCTACGGTCTCTGTCAGGCGCCACGTGAGTGGCACGACACACTGAGGACGACTCTTGCGGCTCTTGGGTTTGCCCCGTCGAGTGCTGACCCGTCGTTGTTTCTGCGCACCGACACTTCGCTGCCGCCGTTCTACATCCTCATGTACGTCGACGACTTGGTCTTTGCCACTGCTGACACTGAGGCTCTCGCCCACGTGAAGTCGGAGCTGCAGAAGAGACACACGTGCACAGACATGGGCGAGCTGCACAGCTACCTTGGCTTGCAGATCACCCAGGACAGAGCACGCCACACCATCACACTGACTCAGTCACACATGGTGCAGCAAGTCCTTCGGCGCTTGGGCTTCACCTGGTCCTCAGCACAGGCCACTCCTCTGGCTACAGGTCACTCGCTCTCAGCTCCACCTTCGGACGAGTCCGTAGAGCCAAGTGGTCCTTACCCAGAGCTAGTGGGCTGCCTCATGTACCTTATGACCTGCACTCGTCCTGACCTTGCGTACCCTCTTGGCCTTCAGGCTCGCTACGTGGCTCCTGGTCGGCACCGAAAGGTGCACATGGATGCTGCTAAGAGGGTACTACGATACTTGTGCAGTACATCGGGCATGGGGCTAGTGCTTGGAGGACGGGGTGATGTTGTCCTCACTGGTCACTCGGACGCTTCTTGGGTTGACGACCAGGCTACGCAGCGGTCGTCACAGGGTTACACCTTCAGCCTTGGCTTTGGTTCAGTTTCCTGGCGTTCTACATGCTCGTCTTCAGTTCTCGGCTCCAGTTGTGAGGCTGAGATCTACGCCACAGCCATGGCTGCACAGAAGCTACGCTGGCTCACCTACCTGCTGACCGAATTGGGAGAGCGGCCTCGTTCTCCTCCAGTGCTGTACGTCGACAACAAGGGCGCCATTGCCTTGTGTCAGGAGCACAGACTGGAGCACAGAACGAAGCACATCGCTCTGCGTTACTTCCTTGCTCGAGAGTTGCAGTAGCGTGGCCAGCTTCGTCTTGCTCACGTGGCCACTCGGGCCAACACTGCTGATATATTCACCAAGGCACGTCCGCCTTGTACCGTATGGCCCCGAATATAGGCGCCGTCCGATTAAAGGCGCCGGCGCTTCTATCTGGAGCATGGCGCCTATGGCCGGAATTCGATTATAAGCGCCCCCCCCTAGAAAACCTTCACTTATTATAAGCGCATATGCGATTTGAATTTAAATTCTTGCCTAAAACAGTAACGAAATCCATTTTTGCAGCGAGTCAGATTTCAATTTCGCTTCGTTTGACTCGTGAAGACCTGACTGGCTGCGCGTCCAGTCAGGATGTGCTGGAATGACGTGGCTTTGCCTGTGTGTGAACCCAGAATATCGCTTGTGCGAGATTCTGCATTGTGACGCTAAAACATTTCGACTCGGTTGAAATGGCAAGAAGAAAATGAACAATTTGGTGCTCTAAAATTATAATTTCGTATTTGTCATTATATAAGCGCCGGCGCTTATGGCCGTTACTCAATTACAAGCGCCCCCCCTCAAAAAAATGATTTTATTATAAGCGCATATGCGCCTATATCCGGGGCCATACGGTAATCATCAGCGTTTCTGTACTTTGTTAGGCCTTGTACCTACGCTTCCTCACTTGCTGTAGGCTTTGTTTGTACTGTGATCTACATGTACCGTCTCCCCCCGGATATAAGCGCCACCCTAGGATAAGCGCCTGGCGCTTCTAATTGGCATATGGCGCTTATATCCCCTCCTCGATTATAAGCGCACCCCTTGAAAAAACTTGTTTTATTATAAGCGCACGTAAACTTTAAAATTTGAAATGTGTTCAAAAAGCTGTAACGATTTTTACTTTAGCAGGCGGATATGTTGCAGATTCGGTTCCCTTCACATTCGGACCCTGCACTGGATGCGGGTCCAGTCAGCAGGACCTGTCAGGAGCTGGATGTGAGTCAGATTGGGTGTATCTCCCAGCGCGCGCGAGAATTTCACAGACGATCCCATGTAACTTCGACTCGATTGAAAAGGCAAGCACGAGACCTACAGTTTGGTGTTAAAAGATATAAAAAAATATGTATGTCATTTTATAAACGCCGGCGCTTATAAATTTACTCGATTATAAGCCCACCCCCATGAAAAAACCTGTTTTATTATTGCCCCCCATGGGGGTATATCCGAGGGGAGACGGTATACTTGCATGCTTGCTCTGGTAGGTAGAGATCACTATGCTGTTGTTGTTACATATATATCTCTGCATGTAAACTAGCCTTGTGGCCTTTTGCTTGTCCTCAGACTGCGTGGTGACGTTGTGATCCACCCTGAGCTTGCTTTGCATTTCCTGACTGGTCTTGTGACCCTCTGTTCTCCCCCACTTTGCCTATGGGGGTGTGTCAAACATTTATATATGTATATATATATATATATATGTGATAGTTTTGGTAGGCTTAGTGGGGTACTCACTGTAGGGTACAACCCCTTAGGTTTCTCCTTTGTACCAATTCTCTCGATAGTCAAACCCATTCATGCCTATACTCTAAGATTCATGAGATTCCGCCCAAACTGGTTCGCATATGGGTGAAGCTGAGTGGAGCGGCTTCTGGGGTCTGGGTGTTACAATGCAGGAGTGCAGAGGGGACTAGGGATAGCATGCTTGAGAGAATGACCAGAGACTTTGTGAAGTGGCAGTCAAATACATGTTGAAAACATCGAGAGCAGCAATTATTGATAGTTACATGGTCCACCTCATCCGGCGGCGCAGGTTTATCATCGGACAACCTGCTATGGGGGAGGGTGAAGTTAACTCAGAACTTTGTCCTAGGGAGTAAGGGAAATGTGGAGCAAGAATTTACGCTGGGAAGTCGCAAGCTGATGTACACAGCAAGGAAGCAAAGAGGGCTGTGGACGGTTAACCCCAAGGAACAAGTTGATAGCTGAGTGCTCCCAAGTGTGGGCCTAGCAATCAGGCAGAAATGACGTGACTTTTGAGTCGACTCAACAGTCACCTAGTTGATAGCTTAGTGCTCCAAAGTGGGTCTGGCAATCAAGTAGAACTGCCCAGTGGCAACAGGGTTCTTGCACATTTGGGCCACTTTGTATGAGCACCCGTTGATCTGGAAACATTGGGGTGGGGGGGGAGCAAGATGGAAGGAGTTGGCATCAAATGATAATGAAAACACTGTCGGCTCAAATGGAGAAACAAGCCATTACATTGTCCAACTAGCACGAAGGAAGTGGCACAAAACCAATCTCTATGTCTGGTGAATCACATGTGAGTGACTCTCTGCTCATGTGTTGCGTTGACTGCTCGCATCATGCGCCTGACAACCCCTTTCACCTGCACTCTCAAGTTCGAACATCCCTCCCATCCCTCTGACATGGGCCGGACATAGAGACTTATGACCCAGAACCGGCCCGAGTGAGTTTGGGTCAGTTCCGGACGGCATGGGCAGGAGAGTGTGGCTTGGAACGCGTCAGCGTGGGCTGGGACGGATCGGGACTGGTTGGGACGGTTGGGACGGGTTGGAACAGATTGGGATGGGTTGAGACGGGTCGGGACTGGTTGGGACGAGTCGGAACGGGTTGGAATGGGTCGGGATGGGTTATTAAGGGCCGGGACTGGTTGGGACGGATGGGGTGGGTGGAGTGCTGGGTTGTTAGACCTGCAGCAGCACCTGCACCTACTTGGATGGACCTGACTCAGTCACACATGGTGCAGCGGTTCAAGACTCACCGATGTAAAGGGTGCGGTGCAGCCTATGTTATTAATGAACTGCACCTGCAGGATGGTGCTCGGTTGCCTGCACCTACACCTGCTCGGATGGACCTGACTCAGTCACACATGGTGCAGCGGTTCAAGACTCACCGATTCAAACATGCGGTGCAGCCTATATTCATTATAAGCTTATGGATGCGTCAACGTTCGAATGCCTGTGAGCGTCCATGGTCGCATCACATAGGGTGCAACACCCCGTCCCTCCTGGGTTCAAATGCCTATGCTGACAATTGGAATAGCCATTGCTGCACAGCCGTGCACGAATGGAGGAGAGACAGGCACAGCCGGGCTCACTGATTCAAGTATCCGTTACAGCACACCGTCCCTCTGCCGCACCTGCACCTTGCAGTGCATGTTGTCTTATCTGCAGTGAGTTAGAACCTCCTCTCACCGGCAATCGTTAGAGACTCACTAATTCGCATATGCGGTGCGATGGAACAGACACTTCACAATGTGGGGGTTGAAGCGCCCTACAACAGGCAGCACAGAGATCAAAGCCCACCCACTCCAGGCAGGCAAGATAGCTGTAGCACGCCGCCACTATGGGGAAGGCCTGTGGCAAGGGAGGAGATAAGGGGGAGAGAACGGGGGGAAGAGAGGGGAAACCAAGAGAGGGGGAATGAGAAGGAAGGAGGAAAGGCTGATGAGGGAGGGGGGGAGGGAAAACAAGATGGGGCTTGGAGTGAGGTGAGAGAGGGATGAAGCGAAGTGGGGTTACAAGCAGAAGGTGGAGCGCAACCGGGGCGGGGCAACACGGGCGGGCAGCTGTAGCAGGCAGCACAGAGGCCAAAGCCCGCTCGCTCTGGGCAGTCAAGGCAGCTGTAGCGCGCCCCCACTATGGGGAAGGCCTGGTGGGGGTAGAGAGAGGGGGGTGGGGAAAGGGGGCGGAGAGTGATGAAATCAAGAGAGGAGGATAGAGAAGGTAGGGTAGGAAAAACACAGGGTGAGGGGACGAGACGGGCGGAACAAGGAAGGTCTTGGAGTGAGGTGAGAGAGCGCAGATGAGGGGGAAATCCTGGAAAGGGAGAGAGGGGGGCTGCGCAGAGGGGCTGCGCAGTGGAGGATATGGCTGGACACACACCTAAGGGACGTGGGTGGTGAGCACTCCCGAATCTGGGAGATGAAACGGACGAATCTTATACAACCCTGATTGAGGGGGTTTCAGAGTCTACCTCCAACACAGAAGGGGGCCCAGAAGGAGCTCGCCCTCAACACAGATCTGAAGTCGCACCCCGCAATTCCAAATCACCCCAACCCTCACCACCCTGGAGGCCACCCTGGTGACTGGTCGGCCTCAACTCAGAGGAGACACTGCTCGCCTTTTGCTCTCGCCACCCGTCCTCCTCCCTGCCGCTCCCAGACTGGGTGGCGGGGCATGCAGCTGGTGCACCACCAACCATCTGCCTGAAACAGAATAGGGCAGGCCCGTCAGGAACCACATTTGAGCACATTCGTGACTCTGCCCTCACAAAAGACTGCCTCTCTAAGACAACGCTCTAAGTTCACAGTTAACCAGGATTTTCCAATCATTCCACGGGGTTTGTCTCGTCGATTTATTAACCACACGAGTTGATGGAAGTAAGACCTCCGCAGCCCACCTGTCTGCTACTGACAGCTCCTGAAACAGAATAGGGCAGGCCCGTCAAGAACCACATTTGAGCACATTCGTGACTCTGCCCTCACAAAAGCGGACGTCCTCACGCATCTTCACTCAACACTAACCTACCTGGGCGTCTCTCCCGCGGGCTGTCGGTCTTCCTAACCGCCTCGTACCTGCTAGCGCTCGCGAAGCCTGGAGGTGGCACCCAGCCTACGGCTGTCTGTCCATCCGGGCTTGGATGAGGTAGACGCCCATCCAAACCCATCCAAACCAGCTCGTTCTCCAGGTGGATCTGGCAAACGCATTCAACGCCATTGAGCGAGCAGCTGCGTTCAAGGGGCGTCACACCTCTGGAGTGCCTGTTCCGCTTCACCCGGCTATCCTACAGCCAGCCGAGTGTCCTGGTCGTCAATCACAGCCTCGAAAAAGACCCGCTCCGGGTCGCCACACTGCCGCTAAGTTCGAGGCTTGGTGCTCGTGGCCGGTGGCGGCAGGCCGCCTACTTGCGAACCCCCCTCCCCCCCTCCCCCCCTCCCCCCTCCCCCCTCCCCCCTCCCCCCTCCCCCCTCCCCCCTCCCCCCTCCCCCCTCCCCCGCCCCTCAGTCCCCAGAAGTCTCCCAAGTCTTCATGGAGGAAGACCCTCGTGGGAGGAACAATTTTTCAGAACCGGGGGGTTGGGGGGAGAGGGGGGAAAGCAAGGGGATTGGCTCAAAACCAAGTGGCTTGGTGCTTTTGAATCGACTCAAAAGTCAGCTTGGGGTGGGGTGGGGGGGAAGCTATCAAGGGGATTGGCTGAAAACCAAGTGGCTTGGTGCTCAGAGCCGGTGGCGGCAGGCTGCCGAGAACACGCTCTGTGCAGCCTGAAGCAGTCTGCCCCGCCTTCATTTGCGAGCGCGCAAACACGGCACCAGTGCTTTAGCAGACGAGATCCCTCCTGCTGCCTCTCCAGGTCCACATGGATCCCCCCGCATCCTATCTACCAGGTCCTGCTGCTCACCCGGTGTGTCAGCAGAGAAGCTTCCTATCTGCTATGCCCCACACCCTGGGTTGCCTTTCTGTGGGGGACTGGTCCGCCAATTGGGGAGCGTTTGCTCCAAACGGCGCTTGGCGCCTGCCACCTTCACGCCCTCAGAGGAACCAGGGCAGAGAAGGCCCACCCGAATGGTCTCGCCACTCTGGAGGACATGCTACCCTTCCCTTCAGCTGACCTCGCCATTGCTCTTGCTTTCTTTCTCGCCATCACTTCCCAACCCGCTCTCTTCTCCGCCACGGTGACCTTCCGGCTCGGCCTCCCCCGTACCCGATCCCCCAAACCTGTGACTGCCGCGACAAAAACCAATTCAGGCGGGGTTTATCGCCCACAAGGAGACAAACGAGTCTACCTCAGTGGTCAACAAGTTCGCTGATTCTTCTATCCGGCACTCGGAACCTGCTTTGCGACAACTCAGATGCGGAGTCGACTCAAAAGCAGTGTGGCTCTGTGACCCCACCAGGTGCCGATCTGCCGTGACCAAACCAACTTTGGCGGGGGTTATCGCCCACAAGGAGACAATCCAGTTTACCTCGGTGGTCAACAAGTTCGCTGATCCTTCTATCCGGCACCCGGAATCTGCTACTGAGAAGCGGTGTGGCTCTGCGACGCCACCATCACCAACCTGATCCCCGAGCAAGACCCCCTCGCCCGGAAGGACACAGGCTGGGCTGCTGCCGCTACTGCCCGGTTTAAGGAGAGCCTTTACCGGCCACCCATCAGCCCCTTTTGCTCCTCCTCTTCACGCCTGTTGGCCCTTGACCTGTACATTGCTTGGGTCTATTAATGCTATAGAGTGTTCTCAGCAAGTGTGCTTGATCGGACCTGAGGAGACTTGGACTCCAGAGTTCTTGAAATAGAAACATTGACTCCCTCTTCTCTCCCCGCTCACTCTCCTTCCACCACCGTCACTCTCCCACTTCTCCTGCTCCTCTTTGCCCCTCAACTTCTTGCGCATGCGATGAGACTTGGACTCCATAGTTCTGACAATAGCAACATTGACTCCCTCGTCTCTCCCCATCCACTCTCCTTTCCCCACCTCACCTCACTCCCTCTCTTCCATTTCTCATCCATTCCAACACCATCCCACCCGCCCCTCTCACCTATCTCACCACTCTCATCCATTCCACCACTTTCAACCATCCCACCCATCCCAACCACCCCTCTCACCTTTCTCACCACTCTCACCCCTCTCAAGACTCTCATCCATTCCACCACTTTCACCCATCCCACCCATCCCACCCACCCACATAAGAACTGCTGCTGTCAGTTCACAGAAACACTTCCCCTGCACTCAACTGCCCTCCTGTACCCTACACCCACTCGCCTTTTCTCTTTCCTCCAATCGCCCCTTCCCTCCTTCCACCCCCGCTCCTCCACCCCCTTCCTCCCAATTCTCCTCGCCCTTCCCCTTCCTCTCCCCCCTCGCCATGCCCCAGCTCTCATATACACCACCACACGTGATACAGCCGTCCCCCACCGCCACTGGAAGCCCAAACTGCCACCCCACTGCCCTCTGCCGCCCCACTGCCCTCTGCCGCCCCACTCTGCCGCCCCACTCTGCCGCCCTACTCTACCGCCCCACTCTGCCGCTCCACTCTGCTGCCCCACTCTGCCGCCCCACTCTGCCACCCCGGACCCTCTGCTGCAGAGGGCGCGGAGGTCAAGATGGTGCCCCGCGGCCCTCTCCTCCTGCAGCACGTCTCTTCCCTGGCCTGGCGCCGTGGCCATGAGCTGCACCACCACCACCTTTCAACGGGGCCGAGACAGCATCAAGCAGGGAGGGCAAGAAGGACGAGACAGCATCAAGCAGGGAGGGCAAGAAGGACGAGACAGCATCAAGCAGGGAGGGCAAGAAGGACGAGACAGCATCAAGCAGGGAGGGCAAGAAGGACGAGACAGCATCAAGCAGGGAGGGCAAGAAGGACGAGACAGCATCAAGCAGGGAGGGCAAGAAGGACGAGACAGCATCAAGCAGGGAGGGCAAGAAGGACGAGACAGCATCAAGCAGGGAGGGCAAGAAGGACGAGACAGCATCAAGCAGGGAGGGCAAGAAGGACGAGACAGCATCAAGCAGGGAGGGCAAGAAGGACGAGACAGCATCAAGCAGGGAGGGCAAGAAGGACGAGACAGCATCAAGCAGGGAGGGCAAGAAGGACGAGACAGCATCAAGCAGGGAGGGCAAGAAGGACGAGACAGCATCAAGCAGGGAGGGCAAGAAGGACGAGACAGCATCAAGCAGGGAGGGCAAGAAGGACGAGACAGCATCAAGCAGGGAGGGCAAGAAGGACGAGACAGCATCAAGCAGGGAGGGCAAGAAGGACGAGACGGCGCCCCCATGGCCCTCTCCTCTCCTCGTCAAGCACGTCTCTCTCTGGCGCGCTGCACCACCACCACTTCCCCATGGCGCCGAGTCAGCTTCAATCATGGAAGGCGCGGAGGGCGAAAAGTCGCCTCTATAGCCCTCTCCTCTCCTCCTCTCCTCCTGCAGCACATCCCTCCCTGGCGCGCTGCACCACCACCACTTCTCCTGGCGCCGAGTCAGCTTCAATCATGGAAGGCGCGGAGGGCGAAAAGTCGCCCCTATAGCCCTCTCCTCTCCTCCTGCAGCACATCCCTCCCTGGCGCGCTGCACCACCACCACTTCCCCCTGGCGCCGAGTCAGCTTCAATCATGGAAGGCGCGGAGGGCGAAAAGTCGCCCCTATAGCCCTCTCCTCTCCTCCTCCTGCAGCACATCCCTCCCTGGCGCGCTGCACCACCACCACTTCCCCCTGGCGCCGAGTCAGCTTCAATCATGGAAGGCGCGGAGGGCGAAAAGTCGCCCCTATAGCCCTCTCCTCTCCTCCTCCTGCAGCACATCCCTCCCTGGCGCGCTGCACCACCACCACTCCCCCTGGCGCCGAGTCAGCATCATGCAGGGCGGGCAAGAAGGACGGGATGGCGCCCTGCAAGAGACGGGCCCTCTCCTCCTGCAGCACGTCCCTGAAGCGTGCGCGGTAGTCGGCAAAGATGGTCCTTATGGCGGGGAGCAAGCGGTGCAGCAGGCAGCACAGCACAGCACACCCCGGGGAGGGTCGTGGGGAATGCAGGGGGTGAGAAGGGCACGGGGAAGGGTAGTGAGAAAGGCGGTAGTCGGTGAGAAAGGCGGCGGAGAGGAAGCGGTGCAGCAGGCAACAAGCACACCCGATAGCCCCTCCCCTCTCGCCTCCCCTACACCTCCACCCTCGCCCTGCTCTTGGCCTCTCCCTCTGCCTCTGCCTCCGCAGTAGTCGGCAGGGAAAGCGGCAGAGGAAGTGGTGCAGCAGCCAGCACAGCACACCCCGGTGACATGCCAGCAAAGTGCGTGAAGGCACAGCGGCAGTGTGGCACATGGGGCACATGGGGCACATGGGGCACGTGGGGCACGTGGGGCACATGGGGCATGGGGCACATGGGGCACATGGGGCATGGGGCACATGGAGCACATGGGGCATGGGGCACATGGGGCACGTGGGGCACGTGGGGCACGTGGGACACATGGGGCATGGGGCACATGGGGCACGTGGGGCACATGGGGCACATGGGGCACATGGGGCACATGGGGCACGTGGGGCACGTGGGGCACATGGGGCATGGGGCACATGGGGCACGTGGGGCACATGGGGCACACGGGGCACATGGGGCACATGGGGCACATGGGGCACGTGGGGCACGTGGGGCACATGGGGCACATGGGGCACATGGGGCACATGGGGCACATGGGGCACATGGGGCACATGGGGCACGTGGGGCACATGGGGCAGCGGGGGGCACACGGGGCACATGGGGCACATGGGGCACATGGAGCACGTGGGGCACATGGGGCACATGGGGCACGTGGGGCACATGGGGCACGTGGGGCACATGGGGCAGCGGGAAGTTGTTACACTTAGAGCAGGGCAGTCGCTGTAGGGCGTCATGGCGCGATACACGCACCAGAAGCACAACATGTGGCCGCACGCTGAATGGGGGCGGGGGAGTCGGAGAAGGGAGGGGGAAGAGGAGAGGGACAAGGGAGAGGAGAGGGAAGAGGTAGTGGCGCATAAGTGTGGCCTGGACCAGGGACACGTGTGCCCCCATAACATAGCATGGCATGGCATGGAATGGCATGGCATGGCATGGCATGGCATGGCATGGCATGGCATGGCATGGCATGGCATGGCATGGCATGGCAAGGCATGGCATGGCATGGTATGCTTCCACGCGCAAGGTTTGCCTCTGTACTGCGTGGCTACTCTCAAGACGAGTTCCATGGCGCGATGACTCTGCTGTACGGCACCACCACTCTGTACCACACTGTGCCGTGATCAAGCGTCACCGTGGCCTTCTGAACCACACTGAACCGGACAGAACAGTCGCTCTAGCTCTTGCTGATTCGTATATTTTCATGGCAAAGAGCTCTGAGGCCACTGCTGCTGAGTTTCCGAGGCGCCTCAAAAAGAACTCATTCCGGGGGCCACTGTTGCCTAGAGTGTTTCCAACAACACTTAGAATGTCGAGGGGGGTTTCCTATCCTAGCTGGCACGAGCCAGGCTAAGGCTGCCTGCCTGACACACGGTGGTTGGCCAATGCGGCCGCCAGGCAGTAGAGGAGGCGAGGGCAGCATGTGCTTGCGCTGCACGGGAGCGCAAGCGAGCGGGAGTGATGCAGTCCGCTGCACGCAGAAGAGAAGGGAGCAGGGAGGAGGGAGCAGGGAGGAGGGAGCAGGGAGGAGGGAGGACGGAGGAGGGAGCAGCAAGGAGGGAGCAAGGAGGAGGGAGCCGGGAGGAAGGAACAGCAACAGTTGCGCGAGTAGGGAGTTGTGAGGTGACAATGAGGACAACTTGAACATCCCACCGACCCAGGATGATGCAAAGAGGACAGGCAAGGGTGGTTGAATATCAGCACGGCATGGGATTCACGACACCCGCCTTTTTTGAGTCAATCAATCCGACTTTTTCCCGCACAGTCGTTTCTGATCGTTGAGAAAATGGCGCCGGAAGCGCTCCGTCAAGGTCGGGTTTTAGGATGATACGTCGGAATCACACAGTTGACGGCAGAAACGCACCGTTATGGGTCCTGGGTCTCACAGGGTTCAACCGCAGCGAAATCAGCCGTGCATCGCGGCTGCAGGTGTTTGTTTCACTGTGGACGAAATGTGCAGTCTTGCAAATGTGTCGATGTAGTATAATGGTCAGTATCTCCGCCTGTCACGCGGAAGATCCGGGTTCGATCCCCGGCATCGGCGGTTCTACTTCTTATTCGGGAGCCCGACTAAGGCTGGTTCTGCAGGCTTTTGATTCCCCCCTCAAAACCTGCCTGTTGGCTTCTAGCAGCTAAATTTTGGACGGCAAACGTCTGGGCTACCCAAAAAATCAAGTCAGGGGAGCAAGCTCGCGACGGGAGAGCATAGGCTGCAGAACAGGCCACTTGGGGGACAGGCTCAATAAGATGGAACAAACCTCAAGCCTTCATGCTCTGGCAACTGGCTAATCTAGCCTATCCATTGCCCATCCATCCCAAATGGTGAAATGACGAGGGGATAGCATAAGGGTGAGGCACGGGGTGAACCCAACTATTGCTCCACAAATGGGACAAACCCATCTGTCAAAACACCCTGCTGCACTGAATGTGGCTGAGGAAAAAAAAAAAACCATCGAACTAAACTTGGCACTCAGCCCATCACTTTTTTTGGTACGCTTTTTACCTAGAGCAGGAAACGACCCCAAATGTTCTCGCATTTGGTGCTGGCCGGAACCTGCAGCGATCGCCAGTGCCCCAGCCGATGCCCCACTTGGCCAGCAACGCCAACCACCTCCGCCACCCTGCCGTGCCTGCTGCTGTGGGGGGGAGGTTGAAGGGTGAGGGTGGGAGGGGGGGAGGGGGGGAGGGGGGGAGGGGCAGCCGTGACCAAGCACTCCCATCGCACCCCGCGCTGATGTGCATGAAGAGACTGGTTGCCCACTCACGCCCCCCCTGTTTCCTCCCCTCCTCTCCTCTTCCTGTTCTCTCATCGCCCCCTGCTCCCCTCTCTCCCATCCACTCTCTCACACCCACTTCTCTCATGCCCTCCTCTCTCGCACCTCCTGTGCAACGGAACCAGCTGCTAACAACCTCCCTCTCCTCTCCCTGCTCGCTCTCCTTTCTCCTCCTTAACCTCCTCCCTCCTCTCCGATTTCCCCTGTTCCTCGTCCTCCCTCCCTTCCTTCCCTCCCTTGTCTCGCATGCTCACTGCTTCCCGTGCGCCCAGCACCCACCATCCCACCCCTCTCATTTTCAATCCTCTCACCGTCACGCTTCTCACCCTCACCCCTCTCACCCCTCTAACCCCTCTCACCCCCTTCACCCCTCTCCCCTCGCTCAGCACATGAGAACTGCTGCTGCCAGAACGCCAGAAACACCCCCTCCTCCGCCTCACTCAACCGTTCTCCCCTGCCCTCCCCTGCCCTCCCCTGCCCTCCCCTGCCCTCCTCTGGCCCCTCCCCTCTTCCATCCCCCACTCCTCCACCATCTCTCCACCTGTTCTCCTCCCCCGCGCCCTCCCTCTGCTCCTTCTGTCTCAGCCACGATGGACGCGGAGGGTGAGAAGGTCCCCATGGCGCACTCCTCCACTCCCTTGCCTGCGCCACCTCTGCTCTCAGGCTCTGTCTTTGCCTCTGCCTCTGCCTCTGCCTCTGCCTCTGCCTCTGCCTCTGCCTCTGCCTCTGCCTCTGCCTCTGCCTCTGCCTCTGCCTCTGCCGCTGCCGCTGCCGCTGCCGCTGCCGCTGCCGCTGCCGCTGCCGCTGCCGCTGCCGCTGCCTCTGCCGCTGCCTCTGCCTCTGCCTCTGCCTCTGCCTCTGCCTCTGTCTCTGCCAGCAGCGGGGGCGAGGAGGGCGAGAAGGTCCCCATGGCGCGCCCCTCCTGCGCTGCACCACCATTCCCCCGCACTACCAGCTCCACACCATCTGAGAAGGGAAGGTGCCCACGGCCCTCCCCTCCTCCAACACATCACATCCCTGTGCCGCGCGCGCGAGGAAGGTGGAGAGATGGTGGAGAAGTGGGGGATGGAAGAGTACTCGGCGGTACTCGGCGGTACTCGGCGAAAAAGATCCCCGTAGCCTTCTCCTGTAGAAGGGGAAGTGGTGCAGTGGGCAACAAGCACACCCGATAGCCCCTCCCCTCTCGCCTCCCCTACACCTCCACACTTGCTCTCCTGGCGAGCTGCACCACCACCAACTCCCCCTGGCGCCGAGTCAGCGTCAAGCATGGAAGGCACAGATGGCGAAAAGGTCCCCATGTCCCTCTCCTGTAGCGCATCCCTCTCTGGCGAGCTGCACCACCATCCCCCTCCACGACCAGCTCTGCCTCAAGAGAGGAGGGCAACAAGGGCGAGTAGGTGCTCCTAACCCTCTCCTCTCCTCCGGCACGGCACGTCCCTGAGGCGTGCGCGGTAGTCCGTGGGGAAGGCGGTGGAGAGGAAGCGGTGCCAGCAGCCAGCAGACGGTGGGGGAGGCCATGGGGGGCGCGGGGGATGAGAAGGCCGTGGGGAAGAGAAGTGTGCGGTGGTCCATGGGGAAGGCGGTGGAGAGGAAGCGGTGCCAGCAGACCAGAAGCAGTAAGGTTTTGAGGAGAAGTAAGGAGTAAACATGGCAGGGCAGCGGTACATGGCACGGCGCGCATGCGCACCATGGGGCAGCTGCACTTAGCGGCTCTTAACGGCTCTTAACGGCTCTTAGAGGCTCTTAACGGCTCTTAACGGCTCTTAACGGCTCTTAGAGGCTCTTAACGGCTCTTAACGGCTCTTAATGGTTCTTAGAGGCTCTTAACGGCTCTTAACGGCTCTTAACGGCTCTTAGAGGCTCTTAACGGCTCTTAGCGGCTCCTAACGGCTCTTGCACCAGAAGAAGACAACACGCGGCCGCACACAGATGGGGGGAAAGTGCTGATGAGGGAAAAGAACGGGGGGAGGGGGAGCGGGGGAGGGAGAGGTGGCTCTTAGCGGCTCTTAGCGGCTCTTAGCGGCTCTTAGCAGCTCTTAGCAGCTCTTAGCGGCACTTAGCGGCTCGTGCCACCCCCCACCACCACACGTGTTACAGCCGCCCCCCACCGCCACACGTGTTACAGCCGCCCCCCACCGCCACACGAGTTACAGCCGCCCCCCACCGCCACACGTGTTACAGACAGCCGCCCACCACTGCCACTGGAAGCCCAGACTGCCGCCCCACTGCCCTCTGCCGCTCCACTGCCCTCTGCTGCCCCACTGCCCTCTGCCGCTCCACTGCCCTCTGCTGCCCCACTGCCCTCTGCCGCCCCACTGCCCTCTGCCGCCCCACTGCCCTCTGCCGCCCCACTGCCCTCTGCCGCCCCACTGCCCTCTGCCACCCCACTGCCCTCTGCCGCCCCTCTGCCCTCTGCCGCCCCACTGCCCTCTGTCGCCCCTCTGCCCTTCGTCGCCCCTCTGCCCTCTGTCGCCCCTCTGCCCTGCCCTGTGCTGCGGAGGGCACCAAGGGCCGGATGATGCCTCGTGGCCCTCTGCTCCTCCAGCATGTCTCTTCAACACACTACACCACCACCACTTCCCCCTGGCGCCGTGGCAGCATCATGCATGGACGGCGTGGAGGGCGAGAAGGTGCCCCTATGGCCTTCTCCTCCTTCTCTTGAGCGACGTCCCTCAGGCGAGCTGCACCACCACCACTTCCTCTGGTGCCGTGGCAGCATCAAGCATGGAAGGCGCGGAGGGCGAGAAGGAGCCCCTATAGCCCTCTCCTCCTGCAGCACGTCCCTCAGGCGATCATGGGGCAGCGGCTCTTAGCGGCTCTTGGCGGCTCTTGGCGGCTCTTAGCGGCTCCTAGCGGCTCTTGGCGGCTCTTAGCGGCTCTTAGCGGCTCTTGGCGGCTCTTAGCGGCTCGCTGTAGGGCGTCTTGGCACACGGTGCACGCAGCAAAAGCAGAACACCTGCCCGCACGCTGAGAGGGGAAGGGGAAGTGGGGGAGAGAGGGGGGGGGGAGGAGTGGGGGAAGGGGCAATTGGGGCTGTAGGGCGGCAGGGCACGGTGCACGCAGCAGAGGCAGAACACGTGCGCCATGCTGAACGGGTTAGGGGGCGGGGGAGAGGTGGGAAGGGAAGTGGGGAGGAGTGAGGAAGGGGAAGATGGAGAAGCGGGTAGGGAGTAAGCATGGCAGCGGCACATGGCACGGAGCACGCACAAGAGGCAGAACACGTGGCCCATGCTGAATGGGGTTAGGGGGGAGAGGAGGGGGGGGTTGGGAAGGGGAGACAGGGTGGTGAGAAGGGGAGACAGGGTGGTGAGAAGGGGAGACAGGGTGGTGAAAAGGGGAGACAGGGTGGTGAGAAGGGAAGCAAAGGCAAAGGTGACTTTTGAGTCGAACGTATCCGTGTATGGCTGGACGTATCCGTGTATGGCTGGACGTATCCGTGTATGGCTGGACGTATCCGTGTATGGCTCAAAAGTCACAGGGAAGCAAAGGCAAAGGCACGCACGTATCCGTGTATGGCTGGACGCGCGAGGCCTCTGCACAGCGGCTAGCACCTCACGGAATAGGCCGTCTCGGCCCCATCCATGTTTCTGTATGGCCCCACCGCATTGTGCCGTAATCCACCGCCTCCGAGGTCGTCTGTACCGCATTGCACCGCACAGAACGTACAGATACCAAAAGAAGTTCAAGCTCTCCCTGGTTCATCAAAACCTAAGGGCGAAAGGATCGCTAGCTCTAAGGCCATAAATGTTACACTTACGTTTCCAGCAACACTTTAGTGAAACGTGGTGTGGTGGTTCCTGCCTGGTGTGGTTTCACTGAGGTGGGGTATGGCTACTTGACACAAGGGGCATGTTAGTGGCGTTTTAAGTCGACTCAAAACACTTTAGTAGAGTGTGGTGTGGTGGTTCCTGCCTGCCTGGCGTGGTTTCATTGAAGTGGGGTATGGCTATTTGACACAGGGGGCAAGTGAGCGGCAGATAAGCAGGCCATTGCTTGCAGAGGAGCAGGGAGCAGGGAACAGGGAGGAGGAAGAAGGGAACAGGGAGGAGGGAGGAGGGAGGAGGCAACAAGCAGCAGGGAGCACGGAGCAGGGAGCAGGGAGGAGGGAGGAGGGAACACCAACAGTTGTGCGAGCAGGGAGTTGTGAGGTGACAATGAGGAAACTTGAACATCCCACCGACCTGCATGCGGAGAGGACTGGCAAGGGTGGTCGAGTCTCAACACGGCATGGGTAGTGCACGTCACAGAATTCACGACACCCGCCTTTTTGGAGTAACTCAATCCGACCTTCCCCGCATCAGACGATTCGATTTTGATCGTTGAGGAAATGGCGCCAGAAGCGCTCCGTCAAGGTCGGGCTTTGAGAGGATACGTCGAAAGCGCGCAGCTGACGGCAGAAACGCAACGCTGACGACGGGCTTGAAGACCAGATCACGGTACTTAGGAAAAAGAAGTCGTGCACTGAGAGGTCAACGGTCGCGGGTCGCACAGGCGGACGGTTCGACCGCTGCAGAACCAGCCGGCCGCAGGCTCTGCATTAATTAAATGGTCAGCATCTCCGCCTGTGAGGCGAAAAATTGATTTCATAGTTTAATTTAGACATATATACATGTCGATGTAGTATAATGGTCAGTATCTCCGCCTGTCACGCGGAAGATCCGGGTTCGATCCCCGGCATCGGCGGACGGGATTCCTTTTCGGCTGGTGAACACTCACTATGTTTATAGGTGCAGCATCTCATGAACCACTTGTTTTTCCCACTCCTCGTCACTCATACATGATCGTTAGATGTACAGCCTTGTCCTGCCTACCTTTGTCTTTGTGTTTGGACAAAAGTTGCATCAAATTAGTGATATTGTACCAGCATTACAAACAAAATTCCGAAATCAGGTGCCAGATGTGCAGGAAATCTAGGACATCCTCATTTCAAGCTCCCAGAAATGTAGGTACGTTCTTCCAGAAATTCAAACGCAGTAGTCAGCACTCTGAAACTCATCCCACTCGACCACGCGGGCTGAATAACGTCCAGCATTCTCAGGTAAAATCACTCAACCCGATGCTGCCTTCCCATCACTGCCAGCCTGAAAGAAAAATAAGCGGCGAGGGATGAATGAGAGGTGAGGCATGAACGAGAGGCTGGTCATGAATGAGAGGTGAGGCATGAACATAAGGTGAGGGATGAACGAGTGGTGAGGGAGTGGATGATTAAGTGTTAGCACCATTGATGATCGTGCAATAAAAACCATGAGTGAGCATGCTTATGCATCATAAAAAAACACAAACGTGCAAGGATAGGCACATCAGTAATGAATGGACTGTCTACAAGAGGAGAAACAGTGGGATGGGATAGAAGGGGGGTGAAGGACGGATGGGGAGGGGGGAGGGGGGTGGAGAGGGATTGGGGGGGAGAGAGAGAGAGGGGGAGAGAGAGTCTGAGAGGCAAAGAAAGGAGACAATTTCTTACAGGAGAGCGAGCACGCTCGGGGGACTTGGCGGGAGACTTGGATCGAGAGCGCGAGCGAGAGGGCGACTTGGAACCACTCTTCTTAGGCTGCATGGGAGCAGGGAGGTGGAGGGGGGGTAGGGGGGAGGGAAAGCGGGAGGGTGGTGTAGTTGAGAACCGATGGCAGCGAGGAGGGAGACTTAAACCACTCTTTTTAGGCTGCAGTGGGAGCAGGGAGGTGGAAAGGGGGGGGAGGTGAGGGAGGAGGGGGGTGCAGTCTGGTTGAGAATGGACGAAAGCGAGAGGGCGACTTGGAACCACTCTTCTTAGGCTGCAGAGAGAGGGGTGGGGTGGGGGGGAAGGGGGGGGGGGGGGGGGGGAGAGGAGGGGGAGGAGGGGGGGGTGAGAAGAGGGGCGATGTGACGAGGGATTCTCGGTCTTGAATTAAGGAACGGGAGGAGCGAGAGGGAGACTTGGAACCACACTTGTTGCGCTGCAGGAAGGGCCGAAGAGACTTTTGATCAGGAGCAAGGAGCACCTCTCTGTAGCCACACTTTGGATCTCAACGTACCGATCGCGAGCGAGACTTGGACTTGGAGCGGAATCAGGCGGGCGAACCAGAAGCAGAGCGAGAACCAGAAGCAGAGCGAGAACCAGAAGCAGAGCGAGAACCAGAAGCAGAGCGAGAACCAGAAGCAGAGCGAGAACCAGAAGCAGAGCGAGAACCAGAAGCAGAGCGAGAACCAGAAGCAGAGAACCAGACGAGGTGACATGTGACTTGACGTACCGAGCGCGAGCGCGACTTGGATTTGGAGCGGGATCGGGAGCGTGAACCCGAGGCAAGCGGGAGCGCAAGCAAGAGTGGGAGCGTGAACGGGAGAGGGATCGCTCGCGACGATGAGGTGACGTGTGACTTGACGTACCGAGCGCGAGCGCGATTTGGACTTGGAGCGAGATCGCGAGCGCGAACCCGAGGCAGAGCGGGAGCGCGAGCGCGAACGGGAACGAGACCGCTCGCGACGACGAGGTGACCGGCTGCGGTCGCGACCCGTCTTGCTCTCCTCACGCACCTGGCGAGAGCAGGCATGAGAAAGGGGTGGAAAGTGAGGTATAGAAAAATAGGTGAAGGGGTGACCTGCTGCGGTCACGACCCGTCTCGCTCTCCTCACGCACCTGATGCGATTAGGCATGCGAGGGAATGGCACGAAAGGTGCGGACCAAGACTTACAACCTGAAACAATGTGCTGGTCTGTTGAATGTTGAAGCACGGGAAGGGCAGGAGGAAGGAGGGTGCAGTGTGGTGCATGTGGATTAGCGAGCATCTGTGTGACGTAGGGGGCTTGTGCAACAAACGAGAGTGGTCGTGTGTATGGTGTTCATTCGAAAAGCATAACAGGTTGGTGGCTAGATTGAATTAATGCAGGTTCCGGACTGGCACAGGACACGAGTAAAAACATTACAGCAGGGAAAAGGAAACTGTGAGATGGCTTAATCAAATAGACGTGGGTTGGAATCTTCCTGAGGTTTTCTTTCACTCAACCACCTCAGAGGGTTATGAACGGAGCTGAAAAGGGCCTGGGAGCGGATTCGGGACTCACACGAATGTAGACGCCGCGGGAGAAGGGGTTTTTGAACTCGGAGTCATCTAGCTTGCGGATCTGATGTGGTGGAGAGAGGTACAGGGGGGTGGGGGGGTGGGGGGAGGTAAGTAGGGGGGTGTGGGGTAGGGGGTTAAGGTTTTTAAGCCGGCTGAGAATTAACCTCGTTTGTTACTCAGAGTCGTCTCGTCTAGCTCCCGGACCTGGCGTTGAGGGGTCAGAGGGTAGGGAGGAGAACGAGGGGAGAGCGGAGGGAGGAGGGCGAGGGGAGAGTGGAGGGAGGGGGGAGAGCGGAGGGAGGAGGGAGATTGGAAAGCGGAGGGAGGAGGGAGATTGGAAAGCGGAGGGAGGAGGGGCCGTGAATGCACATGTCAAGGATTGATTGGTGCACGGTTCAACCATCACTCCGGATACTCTCTTGTTTTCAAACTCTGAATTTCACGCCATTATGCTGCCCCGGCCTGCTGCGTAAAGAGTGAACGGCAGATGGAAAAAAGCGCATGGAGGAGAATAATGGGAGGGTGATAGTGAGTGATAGTGAGTGATAGTGAGTGATAGTGAGTGATAGCCCAACTTATCCTCACTTGCCCACATGTGGCTACTCAGTCACCCCATTGCTGTCACGTCCCACCGACCCACCCAGCTGCCTGACTGACTTAGTCCCTCCATCAAGTGTTGCCCCATAGCCCAGCTGCCTTACTCACTGCACCCACCCAGCTGCCCGACTCACCCAGTTGCCTGACTCACCCAGCTGCCTGACTCACCCAGCTGCCTGACTCACCCAGCTGCCTGACTCACCCAGCTGCCTGACTCACCCAGCTGCCTGACTCACCCAGCTGCCTGACTCACCCAGCTGCCTGACTCACCCAGCTGCCTGACTCACCCAGCTGCCTGACTCACCCAGCTGCCTGACTCACCCAGCTGCCTGACTCACCCAGCTGCCTGACTCACCCAGCTGCCTGACTCACCGCATATTTCATGTCCTCCTCGTTGCTGTAGTCCACTATGCCCATCATGCCTGTGCGGGGAGAGGGCGGCGGGGAGGGATAGGTGGGTGGGTGGGCGAAGGGTGGGGGGGAGGGAGGGCAGTAGGGAGTGACACATGGGTCGTGAGCAGGATGGAGCGAGGGACAAAGCGAGGCATCATATTTCACTTCATGCACTCCTCGTTGCTGTGAGAGAGAGAGGGATGGACGGAGGGGGGGAGGGAGGGAGGGAGGGAGGGGGGGAGGGAGGGATGGAGGGAGTGATGGAGGGAGGGAGGGAGGGAGGGAGGGAGGGAGGGGGGGAGGGAGGGATGGAGGGAGGGAGGGAGGGAGGGAGGGAGGGAGGGAGGGAGGGAGGGAGGGAGGGAGGGAGTGAGGGAGGGAGTGAGGGAGGGAGGGAGGGAGGGAGGGAGGGAGGGAGGGAGGGAGGAAGGCAGGCGGGGTGGGGGAGGGAAGGCGAGGGAGGGAGGGAGGCAGGACGGCAGGCAAGCGGGGAGCGGGAGGGAGGGCGAAGGATAGGGCCAGCGGGGAGTTTGAACGCCTTGAAACTCAAGAATGAAAGAAGAGTGATAGGGGAATGGGGAGGAACGGAATGGCCGGAAAATAATGTACCGAGTGCAATGGGAGGAGCGGGAAAGGAGCATGGGAGGAGTGTGGGAGGGCATGCGTGTGTGGTGGCAACGCGTCCAACCTCCACCCTTCCCCCTTCATCCAACATCCTCCCTTCCCCCCTTAACCCAACATCCACCGTTCCCCCCTTCATTCCAACATCCTGACCCACCGTTGCCCACCCACGCGTACAGTTGCCCACCCATGCTTACCGTCCCTCTCCTTGAAGACCTGCGCGAAGCACACGTCGCCCGCCCATGCACGCCCACCGTCGCCCACCCTGCCTACCGCTGCCCACCATTGCCCACCCGTGCTTACCGTCCCTCTCCTTGAAGACCTGCGCGAAGCACACGTCGCCCGCCCGCCGCATGTGGTCCTGCACACCGGGCACGGGCGGGAGGGGGAAGAGAGAGGGGGGGGTGGGATGGGGTGGGGGGGAGAGAGGGCGGGTGAATAGCGAGGAAGGCACGAGAGGGGGCAAGCGATGGAGGAGGGTGGGGGGAGGGGAGGGGGAGAGAGGAATGGAGGGAGAATGGCGAGAATGAAGGAGGAGAAACGCGGGTTTGCAATAAGCAGGACAGGCAACATTTCAATTGATGCACGAAGGGACAGGCGGACGAGGGGCGGAAAGGTTGCAAACGGGTGAGAGGGGAAGTTGAGACAGTAGAGGCGAGTACTGCAACACTGAGGAGGGAGAGGGAGAGAGGGGAAGTGCGGGCGACACAGGAGAGGAGCGCGAGAGCATGCGAGGGGATCCGAGGGGATGCGAGGGGTGCGAGAGCATGCGAGGGCATGCGAGGGCATGCGAGGGCATGCAAGGGCATGTGAGTGCATGTGAGTGCATGTGAGTGCATGTGAGTGCATGTGAGTGCATGTGAGTGCATGTGAGTGCATGTGAGTGCATGTGAGTGCATGTGAGTGCATGTGAGTGCTCACCTTGAGATCTTGCCAGGAAGCGGAGGTGGGGAGATTCTTCACAATGACTGTGGCGGGCAGGGGGCACACAGTACAAGCACGATACAGGCATGCGTTATAAGCACAATACGGGCATGCATTATAAGCACAACATGTTACAACCAAGCACAGTGAACGAAACAAGCGACGGCGAAATAAGGAACACACAAGCCTGCCTATTCAGAATAAACTCAAAGAGTCCAACTGCATTGACTAGCGAATCAGCCAACGGTAGAGCCTGCAAGTCTGATAACAGAACTCCAAGCAGAGTCACACAACCACCCGACTCACCGCGGTACTCTGTTCGCCGCGACGGTCCGCGCTGGAAGTCCCCCCCCCCGCCCCCCCCCGAACCCGCCCCCTGCTCCGCGGCCACCGTGCGCGAGCTCCACGCGCAGGCGGTTGCCGTCAAAGTCGTACCCGTCGCGCCCGCGGATGGCGTCCTCCGCGTCCCGGGGGTCCGCGAACTGGGGAAAGGTGGCGAAAGGTGGCGAAGTGTGGCGAAAGGGAGATGCGCGGCAGGGTTACACGGGAAGAGACGGGAGGGGTGGATAAGGGCAACAGAGGGCAAGAGGGAAGGGGGAAGGGAAGGAAGGGGGCGTGACAGGGGAAGAGGAAGCGAGCTCCACGCGCAGACGGCTCCCGTCGAAGTCATACCCGTCCCGCCCGCGGATGGCGTCCTCCGCGTCCCGGGGGTCCGCGAACTGCGGCAAGGTGGCGAAGTGTGGGGAGGAGTGGCGAAAGGGAGATGCGGGACAAAGTTACACGGGGAGAGAAAGAAAGAGATGGGTGTGTAAGGATGAACAGAAGGGGAAGGGGGAAGGAAAGGGGAAGAAGGGGGGAGGGGGGAGGGGGGAGCGGGGAGGGAGAGGGAGGGAGCGAGTTCCACGCGCAGGCAGTTCCCGTCGAAGTCATACCCGTCCCGCCCGCGGATGGCGTCCTCCGCGTCCCGCGGGTCCGCGAACTGGCGAAGTGTGGCGAACGGGAGATGGTACCGGGGGAGGGGCAGGGTTACGCGGGGCGGGAAAGAAAGGGAGAAATGGAAAAGGGCGGGGGGAGGGAAGCAGGGGGAAGAGGTAGAAGCGCGCGGGCGGGGGAGGTTGGGGGAAGAGAGGGTGACGGGCTGGGGGAAGAGCGGGTTGACTTAATACACACGCGAACAGCTCATCCCACGCTCCCACTCCCGCTCCCACTCCCGCTCCCACTCCCGCTTCCACTCCCACTCCCACTCCCGCTTCCACTCCCACTCCCGCCCCCACTCCCGCTCCAACTCCCGCCCCCACCACTCCCGCTTCCAATCCCCCTCCCGATTCTGCTCCCACCCACGATCCCGCTCACCTCCACGAACGCGAAGCCGGGGGGCCGGGGCGGAAGCTTGAGCTCAATATCGAGGATCTTGCCGTACTGCACACGGTAACGAGAGGCAAACACACGATACGCAAAGATTCAAACGACAACGACAAAGAACGAAACACAAGGGAAAATTACCACGAAAAAATTCCAGACGTGCGCCCAAAAAGGTTGCGACCATGCAACCATGCAACCCGTTGCGAGCATATCGACATATCCCATTTAGAAAAACATCCGGAAACCCCTACTAACAGCCCCACACCTTGGCGAAAAGGTCCTCCACTTCGCTCTCCCGCGTGTCGCCGGGCAGGTTGCCCACATACACCGTACGACGGACCCCAACCATGCAACCCGTTACAAGCATATTCACCCACTCCTGTTATAATAACATCCGACTACACCCGAAAGCTCCGCACCTTGGCGAAAAGGTCCTCGACTTCGCTCTCGCGCGTGTCGCCGGGCAGGTTGCCCACATACACCGTGCGGTGCGACCGCCCGCTCATGCTGCTCGACATGCACGGTCGATCCGACGGTCGTCGGTGGCACCAAGGATTCCGGTCAGATCTGAGTCGGAAGGTAGTGAATGGAACGATACACGCGGTAGAAGCGGCGAAAGTGGGTAAGGGAAAGGTTAGAGAAGCTCAAATCTCGCAAAGACAGGACGAAGCATTTCGGGTAGAGTCGGGCACGAAACACAAGACTCCTAACGTCCTCACACGTATTCGCGACCTCGGATACTTTTGCAAGGCCCTTATATCCTCACAAATACTAGCTATCTCAGATTTTACTTGCTATCTGAGATCTTGGTAAACGACTCTTACACTACACCTCCACGGCACCAGATCTCATTTACGACCTCGAGTGTTAAGGCGAGACACACGCTACGTCGTCTCGCTGCTGGGCACAGACGCGCGCTGCTTCTCCCCTTGCGGCTACCCCTGTTTAAAAAACTCAGGCTTTCGTCACAGATCTATACGCAACACGACGTCGGACAACACACAAGCTATTTCCGCTTGCTTCGCTTTCCAAGCTCTGATCGACGTACGCTAGACAACCGAACTGCATTGAATAGTGCATCTCTTGCCCTAACGAAAGTAAGATGCTCGTCCGGGGAGGGGAGTAGCAAGGGAGGGTTCAGACCGCATGGAAGACGGCTCGAAGGCCCCCTCCTTATTGCTCCCTCCTTAAGCTCCCTCCATATAAGATCCAATGCTCCCTCCATATAAGGTCCAATGCTCCCTCCATATAAGGTCCAATGCTCCCTCCATATAAGGTCCAAGGCTCCCTCCATGTAAGGTCCAATGCTCCCTCCATATAAGATCCAACGCTCCCTCCGCATAAGGTGCAAGGCTCCCTTCCGGTATAGTCCAAAGCCCTCCACTAGCCGTCCATCTGAACCAGATCGACGGCGTGCGTGACATATTGCAAACACCAACCGTCCTTCCCGCCCTCCCTCATAACTAGATAGAGCAAGAACAGGGAGTTGACTATCATGCATCAGAACGTGCAAGGAAGAGAGAACATGACCAACAGCAGTATTTTTTGCGTAAAAAAGCGGGAAGGCGAATAGACAAAAAACATGTCATGAAATCAACCCATCGACACTTTCCTCATAAATCTAATCAGTGAGAAGACGAAAAATCACCTGAAAAAACTACAACCGTGAAGATTCTGACTTGCGAGTCTCGGCACGTTTAGTCGGGATGCTCGGACGCACTGAACCCGCTGTGCAAGCGTGACACCGAGACACTACTCCGTAAGGCTGACAACTAAATAGGGACACCAAACAAGAACTAGGGTTTGGGCAGGGGAGGTTGAGCAGAAAAGCTTCCCGCTTGCGGCACAGAGGGAGTGGTTGAAGGAGGGCGTCTTTCGCACAAGATATAGTTCTCGCCTCCCTCCAGTTTCACCCTCGCTTCTTTTCGCACCAACAAATATCTATTTCGCGCTGTACGTTTGGGGGCTGTTTGATTTTTCGAGCTCAGGCGAACACTTTTCGCATGTGCGAATACAAAAACGATGAGTAGTTGGTTGGCGACAGTCAGAAACCTGTAACCAACATATTACAAGAGAACTTTTATGGGGGTGGCGGACGCGGAATCACTGATAGTTGGGTTGGGCGCGAAGCTGAAACCCTCCACAGTAAAACCGTCTCACAGTATTGTACTTTCATAGAGCGTAGTATCGCAGCTTCGGCATCTGAAAAAGATCCAAGTGCGCGCGAAGAGAGTAGCATGTCCATTTGGTGCGCCTCTCATTCACCTGAGAGACTTGCGAGCTTCACGCGACGACTAGGAAAATGAGGACGGTAACGCGGCTGCCTTCGCACCTCCCCGCGCCTCCCCGCGCCTCCCCGCGCCTCTCCGCGCCTCCCTGCGCACTCTAGCTCGTAGCCACCAGGTGACTTTTGAGTCGACTCAAAAGTCGCCGCGCCTCAACGCGCCTCCCCGCGCACTCTAGCTCGTCGCCACCAGCCTTGCACTCTTGAGGCGCCTCAAAACTTTTGAGACGACTTTTGAGGCGCCTCATAACGCGCCTCCCCGTGCACTCTAGCTCGTCACCACCAGCCAGCCTTCCACTCCCACTACCTTTCCTCGCCCATCTCACATACTGCTCTCCTGGACAAGTCACTTTCGGCGCACCCGCCCTCTCACGTTCGGGAATCGGCCATTTATCCTCCCGGGACAGTCGCCAGTCTTACAATCGTCGCGCCCGTCTTCTCACACACCCCGCCCTCTTCCTTCTCATGGCAAATGGTTGCCCTCAGTTTCTCCTCGGATCACTCTCAGTCCGTTCAATCAGTTCCCCCACCTGCTTCCGCTCCTTTTCCCCCCCTGCTTCCATTCGTTTTCCCCCCTGCTCCCCCCCATTTCCATCCCTCCTTCCTCTCGTTTTCCCGCCTGCTTCCCCTCGTTTCCCGCCCTGCTTCCCCTCATCCCCCCCCCTCTACTTCCGCTCATTTCCCCCCTGCTTCCCCTCGTTTCCCCCCCTGCTCTCCCTCATTTCCCCCCCTGCTTCCCCTCATTTTTGCCCTCCTTCCCCTCGTTTCCCCCTTCCCCTCGTTTCCCCCTTCCCCTCATTTCTTCCCTCTGCCTATCTTTCCCCCCTTCCCTGTCTCCTCCATTCCCACTCCCTCTTCCTATCTGCTCCCGTGTCTTTCTCCCCTCTTCCCTGTCTCCTCTCCCTCTTCCCTGTCTCCTCTCCCTCTTCCCTGTCTCCTCTCCCTCTCCCCTCTCTTCCTATCTCCTCCCTTCCCTCTCCCCCCTCTTCCCTGTCTCCCATCTTTCCTATCTCCGTCTTCCCTGGATGTTTCCATCCCATTTCCCCCCTTCTATCCCCGCTTCACTTCATGTTGTGCCATCACAGCCTATGCTTCAACCACAACCTTTTTCTTGTTCTCTTCCAGCCCCCTCCCCCCGTTGTACCATTCTCTCCCTCGCTGGTTATTTCAGTGGCTGTGCAGGCATGCTCATTGAATGACAAACCAGCTCAATAACCTTATTTTTCCATGGCCTAATGTTGAAAGGTTCAACAATAGTGTCCCCTTTTGCCTCTGCCTGCTTCTACTACCCTAAGTCAGCCAGAGATGCCTTGTTCAGACCTACCGTAATCTCCCGGACAAAACACCCCCCCATGATAGTACACCCCCGGGTAGCTTGTGCGGGGTGGGTGCTATGGGCGACCTCGTTTCTACTATACCCCCCTTTTTGGATGATTTTCTATAACACCCCCCTTTTCTTACTGATTCCTATTATAGTTGTTATCGAGTCTGATTCCTTACAGGGGAATATCGCGAGAATTGCTTCCTAAATGAAATTTCGCGCGTACTTGCACTTAGAATCCGCCAACATTTCCCCCTCCCACAATCTCACTGTCGCCACCCTGGCGAATCTTTCGCTGCAAGTGGACATTTCCCCCATCCCACATTCTAGGAAGTTGCCACGCTGGCGAATCTTCCGCTGCAAGTGGCCCGAAAGGTGAAACTCACATTCTTGCCAAAACTCACATTCTCGCCTCAAACTGTGATGTTAAAACGACCATTGAAACACCCAAACTGTCTAATTTGAGAATCCTCTTGCATTAAAATATACCATATATAACCACCCGAGTATTATACAGGATTTTCCGTTGAGAGGACCCCCCCCCCTTTTTTCCCTGTGGTTATCATAATACCCCCGGGTGTTATGTCCGGGAGAATACGGTATGCGTGACATGACACCCTTACCGGGAATAAATCTTGGAAGGATCTCTTACAATACAGTGCACACTTTTTCCAAATTATCCTAAAGTTTTACTTTTGAGTCAACTCACAAGTCACCTCTGTGCTGTGTGGAACCAGGGCTGTTTTTATTAGGGTAGTTACCCTGATTTTAGGGTGATTTCAGGCTTTCCACTTTGTGGAGACTGAAATTTCAGAATTAATGATTTCTCAATCCTGATCCAATCAGAGTAATAGATTTCGTATCCCATATTTTGAGTACAGTGTAACAGACTAGCCTGTTAGCGGACCCTGACTTAAGAGAGTATCGACTCTGTGGTACCTGTATTTGACCTTATCGAGAGGAAGTTTCTTTGAAATTTCCTCCCGATAACCCATCCTTCAGATTGTTATGAGTGTTGGGAACAACAAGTCTTAAGCGCCTCTGTCGTGTCGAAACTCAGGACACAAGCGAAGCAGCTAAAATCGAAGCATTACGAGTCAACCCTCGAAGCTTAAGGTAACCGCTGGAGGTTACGAGAAGGTCAAAGGTCAGCGACCTTTGACTTGACAAATACAGCGCGACAGCAAGGACACACAACTGACTCGACATTGAGCAGTTGCCCGAGTCGCACTGTATCGAATCGCAACAGTAAAATAGTTTAATTATATCTACTCGTATTCCTTGTACTCTTATATAAATCTTTGTATTTGCTTGTCTTAATCAACTTACTTTGCCCTCACATACTAGCGCAAGGTGGTTCAAGGACTTTTATTCAAACGCTTCCGCTATTACATCATTCTACTCAACTTTAACTCTACAAAGATCCTAGGGCACCTCAGCCCAACATGGTATGAGAGCAAGTTAGAGTTCAAAGTTACCTTTTTTTTTCTTCAACACTCAATACAAAGAAGACATGTCTGCTAGAAAGGAGAGGAGCTCCTCCAACGGCTCTCCCGGCACTACCCCTACTCCACCTCCTGTCTCTGGCCTACAGACAGAGGAAGGGACAACCACGAGACCAGCAGCTGGGTCTACGGAAACACCCGCAGGCTTCGATCCAAGTATGATGGAGAAGTTTTTCTCCTTCATGTCCTTCTACGAGCAGCATCAGCAAGGAGTACCTGCGCAGTCAAACAACAGCAACAACAACAACGTGACACCCATGAGTCTCGATGGCTCATCCTACGCACGCGGGAATCAACAACAACAACAACCTACCTTCGCTCCGTACGAGCCCCAGCGTGGTTCCGTCAGCTTCATGCCGCAATCGCAATCTGCACCGGGACAAGAAAGAGCACTGGACGCATTACAAGTTCAATCGCAATTCGCGCATGTCCTAAAACTTCAAACGACAAAACCTTTCGACGGAAAGGATTTCTTCACCTGGTCGTTCGAATTCGAGCTGATGATGGAAGGAGCACAGATTCTTGGCTTCTTCGACGGGTCCCTGCCATATCCAACAAACGGCACGCAGTATGAGAAGCAGCAGTACACCTATCAATCAATGATGGCGTACACAATACTATTGAGGAACATCACCCCGACCCAGCAGCAGAACATCAGGACTTACCGAGGTTACAGCAACTCCGCGGAGCTCGCGTACAACCACCTGAAGAACCTGTATCAAGCAACAAATAGTGTAAATCAAAGCCGGTTAATGGCGCAGCTGACAACAATCGAAATGAAACCAGGCGAGAAGGGTATGGCATATATCAGTCGCTGCCGCGAACTGCGCGACAAGCTTCTTCGATGTGGAGGATCAATTTCAGAAGACGCCTTCGTCACGGTAGTCATCGGCGGTCTTGGCCCCCACTGGCGCTCCACTCGCGCCATACTACGAGCACACGGGAGAATCTCCGAAGCAGCACTCTGCGCCGAAATCCATGCCGAGCAGCAGGACATGGACCTGCAAGAAGAGCGACACAAAAAGAAAACGTTAGTACCAGAGTTCGCATTTCACACTCAGCGACACTACAACAATAACAACAACCGGCAACAACAACAAGTGAAGACAGTACCTCCGTTCTGCCACATCTGCAAGACTTCAGGTCATCCTCGCACGCACTGCCCGTCTCGTCAGCAATCGACAACACCACAGCGACAACTTCGGCCTTCAAGCTCCCAAGTCACCTCAACGCAAGCTAATCCGGCAACTTCAATCCAAGCTTCAACGACTACAACAGGACAACCTGCACATGGAGCAAGAAACATCGTCAATTGCATGGTGAAGATAACAGACTCCTGCACAACCGAGTCACCACCTTACTACTCACCAGAAGAACAACTCCACAACAGCACGCCTCGCCGCGAGTCACTCCAGCCGAACCCGACGTACGCTGCCATCGCTCAAAGCGAACCGTCCGGACAAGACACTTGGTTTTTGGACAGTTGCTGCGGACAACACATGTGCTCCTCAGGACGCTTCGTTCAACGCGAACATCGACTTCAACGAGAGGTCGTCATCACAGTCGCCAACAACCAGAACCTGCGCACACGACGACAAGGAGTAGTACAACTTCAGTCACGAGAGACAAATGTTATATTGCACATGTCAAAGGTGCTAATCGCGGAGGGCCTCGGCTACAACTTACTGAGCGTCAACCAGTTGATGGCGAAAGGCATTCACTTGGAAGCCGACAGCACCACCCAGGAGTTCAAGCTGTACCACGGGAAGGGCGGTCTCTACATCGGAAAGGCAGTTTTGAAGAACAATGTCTTTGTCCTTGACTTCGTCCCAGACCTGGGCACTGCAGACAGCGATGCCATCGTTAACTTCGCCGATTGGACACATCCCCCGGAT